TTATTTACACACAGTCATGTGTGTGTGCTGTGGTGTGCTCACCATGTCTGGTGTGATTTTCTCACTACCTTCCGCCCGGACTTTTTTTCGGGCTTACTTAAATTTAGTGCAATTGAAAAGTTATTCCATAAAGTTTTATGATTAAAACTTTTTATGTGCATTCAGTTGGCTGCAAATTCGTTTTACGACCGATTGCCCCAAATTGATTTTGGTTATTCAACTTTTCCACCTCGAATGCGTGTTTTTCGATTCATTTGTGGGCTCGCTCGTTACCTTTGCAGAAATCTCGCCGGATGCCAAGGCGGTTATCAGTGGGCCGCACGATCTGCACTTCAAGGCGGGCAGTGCCATAATCCTCAACTGTCTGGTGCAGCAGCCGTCGGTGAAGGACATCGGTCCGATTTACTGGTATCGTGGCGAGCACATGATCACACCCTTTGACGCGGACGATGGTCAGCCGGAGGCTCCTGTTGGCAGGCAGGAAACTACAGGAAAGGGTATTGCTGAGGTTGTTTCGCCCAACGATATAATGAGCGAGGTGGACCTGCAGAAGGAGTTCGCCACTCGGATCGCCATGGAATCGCAGCTGGGCGACACCCTCAAGTCCAGGTGAGTCAGCCCGTCAGCCTAATTGAGTTGTTTTTACTGTGCTTTATAATCCTCTAACGCAGGCTCCGCATCTCGAATGCCCAGACCACGGACACCGGCAACTACACGTGTCAGCCCACGACGGCCAGCAGTGCCAGCGTCCTGGTTCATGTGATTAATGGTGAGTCGGGGGACACCTGGGTGAGCTAGTGTGGCCTGCACTGGGAGAACAGAAAATAGCTTTGTTTTAAATGGCAGTAAAATAGTATCCCTAAGATATTTTAAAAATATATTCCAAATATTTACTGCTTTTTAACAATCGACCCTCTTTTCTTTGAGTGTCTTAAGATTCTGACTTCCGCCCCAGGTGCTGTCCTGGCTCTATTCTAAGCCTATCATTTACACTGGCAGCCTGAAGTTAGTGCCCCAGAGAAGGACACCCAAGTAGCAGTTAACTCCGGAAAGAGCCAAGAGCCTTTGGTAGCACTTCCACGTGACAGTCATTTTTTGGCCAGCACTGTGGCCCAGGCTCTATTCATTCACGGACACGGCCTAAAAACTAAAAGTTCTGCCGCACTCTCACTCCATCATTCATCCGGTTGTTTGTTTGGGCGCCGCTTCCCACTCCGCCGGGCCTCCGTGGCGTATGAGTAATGCGGCTGGAAGAGCACAACGCACAGACTTGGCTTTGCATATTTTACACATAAATTAGACGGGAATTAAGACATTTTAAGCTGCGAAATGAGGGGCATAAACTTGACGCGTCTTTTGTCCGGCAATTTCCACTGTTTTTTATGACCTTTTATGCGCAGGCCATTCGCAGCAAATTGAAGCGCAAGTCGTTCCGTTGGTAGTCCTAGTTTTTATGCAGTATCAAATGTTAAGCGAAATGTCCAGCACTTAAGTTGTTAAGTTGTTTATTCAAATGAAATTGTTGTACGAACAGGAATTTGCATTTTAAAGAGCATCGGCCTGCTGTCGCTCCGCCGCCTCTCCCCAGCGAAGCCATAATAAATATGATTAAATGTCAGGAGTAAGTTGCAAAAAGGCACTTAATCATGCCCCACATGTGGCATCCACCGGACGGACTGGAGTGGAGTGGAATGGAGTGGTGGGTGTGGGACCCCAGATAGTCCCAGCTCCAGCGACTGTAACTGAGACTGTGACTGGGACAGGGACTCTGACTGGTAGCATAAATACAGATAATAAATCAAAGGCAATAAAATTTTAAGAGAAATGATAAGAGCGGAGTGTCGGTCTTGTCTAGGCGTTACGACGACCGGGGATATGCTCTATGGGGAGTGTGTCAAAAAAGGAATAATTTATAACAATTTGCTTATTGTTCTAATTTGAATTCTGTATAAAATATACGGAAAATCTACTCATATATTAATTATTTCATTTTAAAAAGTAAGAAAATGATGTAATTATCCTTAAACATGAAAGCCCTTCATCCATGCAGACTTTTTTGTTTAAGACCACTCCTTTTTTGGCGGCGATAAAAAATGATTTAACTGAAATGGAAATCCAATTCCCCAACTTATTTATAGACCCCCAGAGATACCCTGCAGTCGCGCAGCATTCTCCACGCATTACTCATTTCTCCCACCGCCGCCCTCTTTTCTGGCCTTAAAAATCAGTGCGCGGAGGATGGGTATCCTTTGTGACGAGTCAAAACAAAGCATTGACAAATGATGCGCCTGGAATAACATTTTCTGGGCCCGAGAAAGGCCGCAGAAATATTGCGTATACGCAGACACACATATGTCATTTATCTAGTCGGGACAAACACGCGTGGCACCCATTCCCCCATTAAACACAACCCACTTTCAAAGTCAGCACAGCGAGAAATGTGTCATTATTAAAGAATGTATTTTTGAAATGTCTTAGGTTCATATTTTTATTTTTAAATGAAAAAACCCTCATTAAACCTCAATTTTACTTTGCTTATGATAATTTAACATTTTTCATAATTAATTTTAGCCTGGTTCTTGGCTATTATTTCAGTGTAGGTCACAATTAAATTAAGTTACTTGGCCTGGCATAGTTAATGACGCTGTGCTTGGCAAAATTTGAATACACATGTTCATTGTGCCACTGCTTGTCTTCCCCGCAGATGAGAATCCCGCTGCCATGCAGAAGAGCGGGGCGGCCGGGTCCTTCCCCAGGCCACTCCAGCTGCTCCAGCTGATACTGAGCTTGGGAATGGGAACTGGAGTATTGGCTGTCAGCAACTGAGACCGAAAGTTGTCCCCAGCATTGCCGTCGTCCTCTCCCTCTACGTCGTCGTCGTCGTCATCATCAGCCCTGTTGGCATTGTAATTGCAGCAGAACGAGAAAATTATGTTCCATGACGCTGGCAGTTTTCCGTGCTCGCTGCGAGATGTTTTTTAGAAGTCTGGTAAACTGGCAAAAGGAAAATGGTAGAGGCAAACAAGGCAGCCGCTTTCCCTTTCAGGCGAATGTTTGTTTTCCTTTTAATATTTACATTTCATTGTGCGAAATGAGACACTGCAAAATGTAAAATGCAGAATGCAAAGGCCGGAGGATGGGGCATGGAGCAAGGACATGGGACGAACGGCGAAGGACATAGGACACGGGACTCGGAAAGCGATGACACTCTCTGTAAATACCACAAAGATGCGGAGCAGCTTACCGGATATATATACATACATACATGCCATTCGGATACTTACATATATAAAAGTGTGTATTTTATTTCATTACTGAGGCTCTCCTCCTGACAATGGAGCCTCTTCGCACGCATCGACTTTATAAACATTTCATGCTGTCTTAACACAGAAAACCAGGCTAACCAAAGGCGAAAACAAAAAAAAGAACTAAGGATAACACACTCGCACACACACACACACACAACACACATAATACTAACCGAAAATTGTAATATATATTATATAAAGGCAGAAACTCTCATCATCTGATAAACTAAAAGCAAAAACCTAATTATAAACACTAACTTGTATGGAATTTATTTATGGGCAAAATGAAATTTAGTCAATGCAAAATTGAATGAAAATGTGAATGTGAAAAGCAGAAAGCGGAAATGTGGAAATGCGGAAAAGCGAAGAGCTAAATGAAATCAATGGCGGCGTGCTCGACTAAGTTTGGTATTGCACATGAGTGTGTGTAGCGAGTATTACTATGGGTAGGCATGAATTTACTACACGTAAGCCAGTAAGCAGATTTTAGATAATTTATGTGATGACAAACCAAATGGATAAATCAATGGAATGAATTCTTTCAACAATAAACTGAAACGAAACTACACGATGCGCTTTTCATTCTGTGCAGACTCCTGCGGTTATGCTCAGTGGGAAACTTTTAATTTCTTTTTTGAAATGCGGTGAGTACTTAGTGAATCTACAGCTCCCCAGAGTTTTCAATTCAATTAGTTGGCTGCTAAATGAGAAATATGCGTAGATCTGACTTGTGCAAAGGACAAGCTACTACATCATCATCATCGTTATCATTATCACCAGTGTATGCAAATGAAGTAATCAAAGACATAATCAAACAGCAAATAAAATGCCCATATTTAAATTGATATCTGTGGCAATGCAGTCGTGTCATAATGCTTGTAAAGAGGATAACGTTTATTATTTTATTGGTTTTTCAATTTATTTAAGTGGTAAATAATATGCAGAAATATTGATAGTTTATGTAAAGGATTTCATAAAAGTAATTATGGCAGTATTTTGGCATTTACATTAACTTTAATGTAATATTTAAAATTTATTTTAAATCATTAACCTATCGATTCTTTTGTTATCTATCCAAAAGTATAAACAATCTCCAATTAAGCTGAATGATTTTAACCGATTAAAAGCTAGCTAAGCATTTCCATAATCTTTTATATTGCCTTTAAGAATAAAATCTTTATATAAACCTGCGATAATTTCATAAGAAAAACCATTTGCGGCAGCCTCAGCCGCCATAACAGTCTCGAATTTCAGAAATTATAATTGATATTTGCCGTTGCAAAGAGCGAGCGAAAATATTGTGTTAAGAAAAACAGCTCCACGGTGCGGAGACCTCAAGATGGCGCCATAAAAACGCCATTACTGTCTTCGCCTTAGAGCCACACCACACCACACCACCACACACCACCCACTTCCCTCCCGCTTTCCCCTACACCGAGACTGACCCAATTAATGTGCCCGTAGCCGCAAGTGTTTTTCATTAGTTGGAATCCCGCACGAAGAAGAGATCATCGCAATATTTAAATGAAACAATTACGGCCCGGACAGGCGGCACTTGTTGCTGATTCACAGGCAATTTAATGTCCATTCGTCGGTTGGGGGTTTTAATTTAAACAAACAAAACGGCAAAAGACAAATTTCCAGTGGCTGTGGCAAATCCAATCCGGGATATCAATCATACGCCGCGTAGGCTTACAGAAAAGTCTTCAGCAGGGTGATATATGAGCCGGTTGTGCTGAGTATCTGGAGGCAAAAAGAGGGGAAATGGAAACATAAACATTTATTATCATAATCAACGCACATCGCACACAGTAGTCGTCCCTTACCGAACCAAAGGCTGGCAGTGAGGGCGTAAAAAACGGCACCGCAATTGTTTTTGCCCGCTGCGAACACCGCAATATCATTAAAATCATTTTTCTAGTCCTCGCGTCGCATTTGTACCACTCGATGTCGTATAGCACGTCCGCCACAGCAGCGCTCTGCGAATGGAATTGGATCTGGTTCTGAATCTGAATCTGAATCTCAGGCGGAGTCCTCGCCGTCGTCTGGCCGGAGAACTGGATCCCCGCTCGGTGCTCAGTCCTCCGCACTTTGTTGTGTAATTAAAATTTTATCACAAGTGCAATTTGTGAATGGCACATCATTTTTTATGTGGCCGCCTGGCTGCTTAATGTTTAGCGTCAAATTGAAATTACAGGAATTGCAAAAACGAAAGTAGATACACGAGCGGCAAATGAAAACAAGCGGATTGGAACCGAATGAAGAGATACTTTAAGAAGAATTTAATGTATATTTCCTATATTTAAAGAATATTTATTAAGTTCATAAATTATATCAGAAAAAATCTGGATAATCTACAAATCTTCCTAGTTCCAAAATAATAAAAAAGGTAGTTTTAAAATATAAAAAATCAGCTCCACACCCAACTAAACCCGAAACAACCCCTCCTTTAGGGTATCTTAAACCCAATGAATGATGGAAATGAAAATGGTTTGGTGCTAGTGGAAGGGAAGTGGAAAAGTGGTCGCGAAAAAAATGGCGGGAATAAGCGGGAAAAGTGCGAGCAGTCTTACTCACACTCTCGCCGACGTGATTGCCGCCGAAGCAGTAGAGGAAAAGCTGTGTGAGGGCAGCGATGCTGTAGCAGATGTAGGTTAAGCCGCTCAGCGACGACGTGTTCTGCGAAGGAGACAGAGAGCAGGGAAAATGAAATAAAATAATATGAAAATGCAGGAGAATTAGATAAGAGACTATGCCATTAATTGGAGAGAAATTGCTTGTGGTGGGTAAAAAAAACTAGAGGGGATTATTAAATACACTTTACACAGTAGTTTGCCCGAGTTTGAACTAGTTGCGAAATGCGAAAGCATCAAAGCAATGTTCTTTGGCAAATGGTCTTGGGCTAGTTGCGGTCTCACTCTGATAGCTTTCCCTCCCCTCTCTCTCTCTCACCCTCTTTTCCATTTTCCACTTGTCCGACTTTCCATTTTGGCATTGAAAAAGAATTATGCGATTTATGCATGTCGCCGAGTGAATAAAACTGAAAGCACGCTCCATTTTACAAGACCCAAATTGGATTTGGCCACAATAAACTGCATTTGTTTTCTCTTTTTTTTTGGCTTTCTTTGAACGGTTTAATTTGTTTTCCTATTTGTCTAATGTGCTAAATAGAAGGTCAAGCCAAAAATTGGGAGCAAGGTTAATATTTGAGAAAATAAAATATATTAAATAGCCTTAGAGAAGTATTGAACTATTTTAGTTTGCAAAAAAGAAAGAATTTTTCTTCTATTAATAATATAAACCAAATATTTTGCTATCAAATTGTATTTTATTGGTTTACTCTTGTATTTATCATTATTTAAAACTCCTTAACTTTGGTTAAATCACTGAAAACCCTTACTTTCTACTTTAAAAAGTTTAAAGTCTTTAAGAAAATGTATAATTTGTGATATGAAAAACTTTTTATTTATTTATAAATTGTATCTTCCACTCTTAGGGGACCTCCTAGTGTCATATATGTTTTTCACTTGTCCGCTTTTCCGGGAAAGAAAGTTAAAAAGTGATAATAGATCGCTGGCCTCGGGACACCCGAGCGATAAACAAGTTTCGAATGGATAACTCAACACTTTGGGCCGCGTAAGGAGGCGGCTCAGTCGCAAGAAGTGTTGGCATCGCTTATCCCATTGGGCAGGAGAGAACCCATCCCGAACATTTTCGGCGCTCGGCAGTTGCAGCGGCAAACAGCTTATGGGTCTCCGGTGTCCGGGACACCGGAAAACGTGCGAAAGTCGCATTAAAAACTTTTTTCGGAGCCGTAACAATTCATGCGCTTATAAATTGCCACGGGAGAGCCGCAGCCGCAGTCGCAGCCACAAAGCAAACAAACAAATCGAGAAGGAGCCGAGGTCAGGGAAAGCCAGGTTGAAGGGGGGACGGGATGGGAAAAAACAGCAAACAGGGAAAAACTTTTAAAGCGACCGGCGAATGCAGGCGAGGTGTAAGGTCAGTGGCGTCAGTAAAATACTATTTAAGGGGGCTTTATTTTACTTTGTTAAATTTTCTAAAATTAAGACTGTCACTTTTACTTTGTTAGTTATTTAATTCTTATTTATTATATTTAAAATAGTAAATATTTATGAAACAACTGCTAAGTAAATTATAGCAACCTTAAGCCCCCAAAAAATAAAATTGCCACAAGCCCCTGAAGAAGGGAAAAAAGGCTTACCAACATGATGTCCAGGATGGTCGAGCACAGGACGAAAGCGGCGGACAGGAAATGCATTAAAACGATAACGGTAAACTGGCGTGTTAGGTCCGTGCACAGATCGATAATCGCATTGTGCCGCTCGACAACGTGGGCCAGTTTTTGGCGCACCTCCGCATTCATCGCCTCCGTGAAAACGTCCACGGAATCTGACAGAGGGAGATAGGCCAAGAAAAGTCAGAGGAGCAAAGCCATTGTCATCTTTGCCAGTTACGACACCCACACACCCACACACACACTCACCGCCATGCAAATCGGCGAATATCCTGCGAATGTCCTGCTGCAGCAGTCGGAAGACGCCGCAGATGTAGAGGCAGGAGCAGAGGAAGAAGCCATCTACGAAGCTGAAAGCAAACACAGTGCAGGCCCCGGAAGCGGTCAGCAGCACGTAGGTGACCGGAAACAGAGATGGTTGTACGGCGAACGCTGGCAATCTGGTGACAAGGAGCATCGGGATATCGAGTGTTAAAATTAATATTCCATGCTTGATCCCAAGAATGACCTAAGGGTGTCGCGACTCCGAATGGCGAGCCATATTTAATGCATTTGCCAGTCCTTGCGATTCATTAACCAAATTGGTTAAAGATTTTCAGTACAACGAGTGGCTTGAGTCGAGGACTTTAATTAACTTTATCGATTGAGTAAGAAAAGCTACTTAACAACAATAATGTATAACAAGAAAGAAAGCTACTAACTTTGGCCAGTCAAAGTTTGTATACCCTTGCAGGTAACAATTAAAATATACCATAACTAAGCCAAAAATGCATTAATTTCGATTCGAAAAGCAGTTTTGTGTTAGTTTTTATTAATTTAAAAAAACTGCATACCAAATTTAAAATTTTAAGAAATCAAAATTTTTGGCTATTTTTGCTAATTTTAATGATGTAACCCCTTATCAAATTTCGCAAAAATGGCCAAAAAATCGATTTCTTCCGGACATGTCTAGAAAGATTCGCATGTTAATGCTGATCAAGAATATATATGGTTTATGGGGTCGGAAATGATTCCTTGACTTGGAAAAATATTATTTTGTATTATAAAATCGGATTTTTTATATTAAAAAACTTCTTGATTTTATTGTAAATTAAAAATATCATAACTCGGAGAAAAGAGCATTAATTTTAAATCGGAAAACTGTTCTGTGCAAGATTTTCTACAGTTAATAAATCTGCATACTTCATTTAAAATTTTTGAAAATTCAATTTTTTATCAAAATCAAAAATTTTAATGATGTAACCCCTTATAAAATTTTGCAAAAATGGCCAAAAAATCGATTTCTTCCTGACATATCTAGAAAGATTCCCCTGTTGATGCTGATCAAGAATATATATACTTTATAGGGTCGGAAACGTCTCCTTCACTGCGTTGCAAACATCTGACTGAAATTATAATACCCTGCAAGGGTATAAATATAGTTCAAAATAAGCTTCGAATTTAGAATTTAAAATACCAAATGTAGGAGCAAACATGCCTCTATCAAAAGTGGTTAACCAATGCCTAAGGTTTAACTTAAAAATAAAGCAAGGATATTTTTAGCTTCTGACTAAAGTCATTTGAACATGTATTTCGTACAACCTCTACTCAAAGCTCAAGAGATAACTGGGGCACCCGAGCTTAAGGATGTTCAAGTGAGCCCCGGAATATCCTTCTCATCATACATACTCACATGATATTGAAGGGCAGTTCGATTTGACCGGGCAGCTCAAACAGCCAACGATAGAGACCCATAATCAGCGGTTGCAGGTTGAAGGCGGTGTTGGTCGCCGTGCCGGAGCTGAGAAGCAACAGGCTCAGCCTACTGGCCGTGGTGGCCAGTCCGACCAGCATACGTTGGCCCTCTTCGCGGCGCGCAGCCCACAACATTGATTGCAGGCGCTGGATGAGCACCGCCCACTGGCGGCTGGAGCGGAAGAAAACCCACAGCTTCAGCACACACACAGCCTTGGTGGTGCCGGGGCAGAAGGCCTCCAGAGCCACAACCAGGTTGTCCAGGTGTACACAGCCGTAGAAGACCTCGCCCACAGCTCCCACCAGGACCACCAGAAAGGCGAACACGGACAGGAGATGGGTGTACCACGGACCACTGCCCCTTCTCATCTCCGGCCAGATGCCAACGATTCTCGCAGAGAACCGAGGGATGCGGTAGAAGTGGCCAGCAATGGCAGGCTCTGGCTCCCCGCTGTCAATCATTCCGGCGATGAACTCAAGTGGATACTATCGATGGGGTCTTCTTTGCCGCAAGTCGAGTGGTCAGCCGCTCCGGGCGAGTGTCGGGAGCAATGTTTTGGCCTGCTTTTTATAGCCACTCCGGGCAACTAATTGCAGGGCAGGGAGCTGTGCTTATTGCACGGGGAAAAACTCCCAAATCCAGCAAATCAAGCGATTCTTGCTCAGGAAATGCTTAGTGATTTAAAGGGGACTCTTAAGGTCGAAAGTTGGGTTTCAACTAAGACTAGAAATAGGCAGCATCAGAGTGATACATATAACAAAATAATAAGGATTTACATATTCTTAAATAACATTAGAACATTGTTTTCTTAAATTATTTTAAAAAGTAAAACTAACGATATTTTACACCAAAAAGCAAGGCTGTATCAGTAAATAAATAATTTCTATTACATTTTATAAAGCATTTTTTGTAAACGTATTCAAAATATATCCTGAAATTGTCAAGCATATTTCCTCATACAATTTCTAAATAAATTAATTAACTTTCCTTTCAGTGTACCCGCTGGCAAGTCCTGTCTTTGACTTTGGCAAAAGTTTTAATTGTTTTTATGCTTACGTCTGCGCTTACACTTTCTCCTGAGCCACTGCTTCGGCCCTTCGACATCCCGCCCATCAGTCAAGGTCCTGCCATTCCGTCTCACCTGACTTATAATTATAGAGCTCAGTTACAGTTGGAATATTCCATTCCATTGCTCAGCCATTGTTTGACATTCAATATTTTGTGTGTGTTGCACAACAAGAGCGACACAAAAAGGCACCGAATACAAATTTAATTAATTGTTATGCGGCAAAACTTTCAATTCCTTCGGCTTTCCTCCTCGTCCACGTCCACTTCCGCTTCCTTTCGCTCGAGTTTTCCTTTGTTTTGCGTTGTTTTTAATTGGGGTTACCTTTCCTCCCCTCCATTCGACTAAAAGTTGTTAATTGAGGGGATCGTAGGCTGAAATAAACACAAACAAAGAGCTGTCGGTTGAGGATGGAGTCGAAGATGGTAAGAGAAGTTTAAATAAAAAATTTGTATCAGCTCCGAAAATCAATTTTCATCGAAGAAAATAACCGAATTTCATATAGAGTCGAATTTGGGAAAAGCAATCTATGGCTTTTAGTTGAATTTAGAAGGCAATCTTTTTCGGTTGGCTCACTAAGCCGGCTAAGAGAATTTCCATTTGCATGGCCAAGTAAGCCACAGTTCCTGCCAATAGTTAACCGACCAGACCCAGCCAAAGCAATTAAAAGCCTACACCAGTACCTGCCCCCACCCACAGACGGCTGGCTGCCCATTTGATAGATGGACAATAATTGCATTTTATTTGGGGGCCGCAACGAATAATATTTGACTGGCGCAGTGGCCGGCCATGCAGTTGGGGTTGTCCCATTAACTGGCAGTCCTCGTCGTTACGGATTTGTCTTGCATAATGTTTGGAGTTGCCAGTGCTCCCTTCTATCCCGCTTCCTGGTAAGTCCCCTTCCAAATCCCATCTATCTGATGGCCGCCTGGCAAACTAAGCCAAATCCAGGGCTAATCCTGTTACAGCAACTGTATCAACGCCTATCATCGATGGCCACACACACATACTCGCACACTGCCCCCACTTTGCTGCAGTTTATTTTGCCCAGTCTGTGTGACATATATCAACATGGAGCCGGTGCCTATATGGCTTGTAGCATGTAGCACATTGCATTGCACATCAGCATATTCAATAAGCGGTTGGGCCGGTGTGCGGCCCACACGGCGTATGCGCAACTCGGTGCCGCATAAGCGCACGTCAAGTGTTTGCCTGCGGCCACCTCAGCACCCCCCTTAAGCCCTCGAGGCCCCCTGGCAATGCGTGCTGCATTCAAGTGACCATAAAGCATTGCCTTAATGGTCAGGTCGTATCTGCTAGTGCACCAAGAGAAATTTTGGCTAAAACATATGAAGAAAAGTAGCAATAACCTAATGAAATTATGCCAATAAATGATTTATTATTTCATTAAAAGTAAAATATATTTAGAAAAATGGAATGGTAGTAAATATATATTTTGAACAGTGCCTTGGCACTATTTCCACCTTAACCAGACCCCCAGTCAGGCGATTATGTAATATGCAAATTGAAAGATTAAGCGGTAGGCATAAAGATTGAACAACAGAGCCAAGCAGAGGTGCTCCTTTGAAGGATACTCGCCCGGGGGAGGCAGTCTTGACAAATTGATTTGCGTACCTTCAATCTCGGGGCGAGGCCAGGCTCTCGAAGCCCTCGAAACCCCCTGCCAAAATAGGCCCCTCTGACATCCGAGGGGGGTTTACTGAGGACCAGCCCCTTTAGTGTTTTCGGGACCTCGTGCTGTCTAGCCGCTTGTCGACTGTCACTCCAACTTGGGTGGCCCTTTTATTAGCCGGGCGCATTTCTATGCGAGCTTGCTTCATTTATTGCCACGACGAGTACACCAATTTTCCATTAAAATTTCACCCTGTCCGTCCGAAGTGTGTGTGTGTTTGTGTGTGACAATTGCATTTGCGCATTTCCATTTCCGTTTCCGCTCTGCCATCGCCATGGCTTCTGTAGCTGGCGTTTCTTTCTCCTTTGCCGGCTTGCTGCTTTTGGCAAGGCGACGGCCTTGGCCCAAAGCATCCCCCCTCCCAAAAAACCACCTCCTCCATTGCACCGCTAGGTTGCCATAAATTGCCAGCTGCATTCATTCATATCTGGGGCTGCTTCCTGCCCCGCAATGCATCATCGTCAGTGCGGGGCATCATCAGCGTTGCGCCGCCTTGAATTATGCGCCAATAAATTTGTTTGCTGAATTCCATCTAAATCGGATTTCCTCTCACACTTCTTGAATTGAATTTAATAATATATTTAATTATTTAGTGTGAATACTTGGCTCTCTGCTTCCCACAAGCCGCCCCCTGTGTGCATTCGCTCTGGCAGATTGAATTAGCAAACAGGATGCAACTGCCGTGCAACAGGGCGTATGATTAACACTAAATGCGCTCCCTGTCAAAGTGCATAATGCCGATTGGCAATGCATCAGAGCAAGATGGAATGACTGTGAGGGGAGAGCGGGCATGGGAATCAAGTGGTACTGCTGCTGCCAGTGTTTATGGCTCGGCACATAATTTTGCTTATTTTTGCAATTAGCTGGAAAATTGATGCTACAAAATCAGAGTTCATTTGGCGGCGAGGGTGGTTTGCAAATATAATTGGAATTCTTAACACTAAAAAGAAGGGAATTTAAGATAAAATCAAACCCTAAACAGTGAAAATAAAAATATTCTTTGGTAGTTATGAATGGCAATTTACCTCGCTTTACCCCAAAAGTAGTATCGTAAAGTCTGCCCATAAACCATAGTCTTCTGTTTTAAATATTCCCATATGCTGCAATCTATTTTCCATATCAATCAGCGCTTTTCACGATCCATAAACAAATGAATGTGTAAGCGGAGCAGATTTTATGCGCGCTGTCAGATGATAAACACCGTTGAAATTATGTTTATTAGGCATTGAAAAATGCATCGCAAATCTTCTATGCATAAGTGACACTTTCGAGCGACTCCCCGCTCGAGTAAGGGATATTTTTTATGTGGCCACGTAACTCAGGCTGGGAACCTTTAGGGCGCCGGGACTGGGTGTGTGAGCGTGTAAAAAACTACTAAAGCAACCCACGTGAAAGTTATAACTCGGCATTAAATGCGCAAAACCGAGCGTGGATATCGTGGCTATATGGATCCCTAACACACACAACGCCACTCCCATCTGTGGCAATAAAATGCAGTTGACTGCAAGGGGGCTTGGGTTGCCAGGGGGCGTGGCAGGTCCTGTGAAGATGGAACAGCAGCAGCAGCAACAACAACAAGGCGACGGGGGCAATGTGTTGCACATTTCGGTGGCAAAGTTGCACAAATGTGTGAAAATTGTACAACACAAACAAGCGAAAGGAAACAGGACCCCGGAGTCATGAGCCTGGAGCTTGGAGCACGGAGCACGAAGCGTGGAGCCTGGAGCCTCCGTATCCGGAGCTGGTGCCGAAACTTGCAGGACGAGTGTAAAATGCAATTGAAAAATGCCACAGTTTTGCATAAATCAGCAGGAAAGCGCCGAAAATGGCGCACAAACAAGCAGCAACGGAGGCAGCAGCAGCAGCGGCACCAACAACGGACCCGTATCCGGCCATCCAACAATGGCGGAGCAGGAGGCAGAACCGAAGCAAAAGCAGGACCAGCAGGAGCAAGCAAACATGGCCGCAGGCAACCCGTAAACATGGCCAACATGTCGGCACTGGGAAAAGTCGGAAAAGCGGGGGTAGGGGCAGGAGCGGCGTCGCCGCAGATATAATTTACTGATAATGCAATTGCCGTTCGAGCAACGCACGCGCCACCTGCTGCAGCATCGTATCGTCCTGCCTATTTCCCCCAGCCTTCAGCCTGCGTCCTTCGTCCTTGCCGCTGTGGCAGTGGCTGTTGCACGCCTGGCTAAGCAAGCAAACTTCCTAGAGCCGAAAAGCGCTGAAATGCGCAGAAAAAAATTGAGTAATAACAATTACGTTCACCACAACGAAGGTTAAATGCTCTGCCCATTAGGATTGCTTAAAAGGCCAGAGGGCGGCTTAAAAAAGTAATACAGTACAAGGTTTAAAAGTTTAAATGGAGAGTTATATTTAAATTTAGTAATTAAACTTATATTCAGGTCCATTTTACATTGTAAAAGGTTTCTGGTTTCTTTAAAATGTTCGGAATACTACAACTTAAACTAGAATTTAATAATTCAATAACTGTTAAATTTATAGAAAACCGATTCCGATGTTTAAGATGAAAACCAGCTTCGGATAATCAGGTCTACAAATGAAAGTAATCTATAATTATAGAGGGGATTGTGCCTTTTATTCCCAATAATCACTTCTCCAATAATACAATTCTCCAGAATCTAATGGATTTGGAATTAAATAGTCTTCCTGTGCGGCTGAACTCATTACGGGGATGCTCGCTGGCAGGATATCTCCCCGATGTCCCAGCGGCTGAGCGGAAGAGCAACTGTCAAATATAGCGAACGCTGCACAAACTGCATAAATATTGCAATCGCATGACTCGACATTGGCTGGGAACGGTGGACGTGGGACTTGGTCACGCTGCAGTTGACATTTTTTTTTTGCTCCCCCTTTTCCGAGAATCCATCCCGGATAGAAGTCCATGGCAGCTAGTCCATGGGCAACGTAGAAAACAGTTCAGTCAGCGAGTCATCCCGTGGTTTCCACCGCTCCGCATACAAATTTCATTCACTTCCGCGCTGCTCGATTCAGAATTTAAGCTGGCTTCCCCTTCAACTTAAAGCGGGGAATCCCCGTTGGCAGCTCGAAATTAAACAGAAAACAACAAGCATCGTTACTTTCCATTAGTGCCAAGGAGGTGGATGCAAAGGATACCGAATGCCGTAGGAAACAGAAACAGTGCCTTTTGATTTTCCGCGATTCCCTCTTCACACAGCGAAATTGGCGCGGGCGTTTTGCTTTTATTTTGTTGAGAGAATTTTCTTTTGTTTGTTTGACAATCGAACCAGTTCGAAAGTTTCCGTATGAACACCAGGGTTAAGTACAGTGAGAGAGCGCTAATTACCGCCAAAAGATAACTGGGTTTTCTTTGCCTACAAATTAAATGAAGTACCTTAAACAAAACCAGAAGTTTAACACATGTCTTCCAAAAATGATAAAGCATCAAGAGAAATTTATAAATAAATACCTGCCATTTCCGGAGCCTCCACTGTTTATGAACGTCACGACACTTTCCACTTTCCATTCACTCAAGTTTTCTTTTCGGCTAATTAACTCAATTGCAGCTCGCCAGGCTCCGCAATTCTTCATTAGCTCCAAGTCAAAGTTTACGATATGCGATTATTTCACTCCAGCGATGCTGCCTGTCGGAGGATGCTGCTTCTTTTGCGAGTGACTGACTGACTGACTGGCTGGCGGCTCCTTTCCTGCCGAGGTGAGTGTTTGTTTTATGAAGGAAAATAATGTACAGAGCTGGCAGCATGAGGCAGGCATCAGGCGTCATTCCCCACCACCAACCATAATTGTTTTAAGCCCAAGAGTTGGGAGCAAGTTTTAAAGGTGAGCTCGGCATTCTCGGTTCCGAAGGAGCGGGTTATGACACACGTTGTGGAGCAGATAACTATTTCCGAGCCTGAACTAACTACTATACGCCATAATCTTGGCATTTGGACCACATTTTCCTTACCATCATCCTTACGCATTTCTGCACTTACGCCGTGAGCGTGTGTTGTTTTTGTTTAATTTGCGCAAAATTCTAGGCTGTTGTGTTGTTTTTGGTCGGGAATTTACATACATTCGAAATTTTGGCATTGTTGGCTGTAGAAACTCGCATTTCCATTAGACTAATTCATGTATTTTATAGCACCTCCCAGCTGCCGGGATTTGTAGCAGAGGGAAATAATTTATGCACTCTGTTTACTGTTTAATTGCACAGCAGTCATAGTCAGAGCCGAGCCATGTCCATAGCCATGTGCGTGCGGTTATAGTTACCAAGTTTTGCTGCTGACGCTGGCTGGCATCTCTCTTCCAGCTGAGTAATAAGATTATTAGTTCCACTCCGGGGCACAAACACAAACGCATTATAAATCTAACCCCGCAGCCCACTCGGTCCGCCCGCCCACTCGTTATGCGACGTCCTTGCTGCAGGAGCTCTAAATTAATGCCAATCCACAAGTCTTCCACAAATATGCAACAGGAAAGTCGAACCGCCGTATAGCTGTTACTCTTTATGGCCAGAAAATAGATTTAGTTTGACGAATAAAGCTTTCGTAAATGATATATTAATGCCAATAAATACTCGATTTTATTTCATCATTTATTAACTTAATTTTCAAAGCAAAGATGGCCTTCCCAATTATTATTATAAAGAGGCTTAAGTATTACATGTTATTTATCAAATCGCTTGAACAGAAATGAGGTAGCCAATACTTAGTTATTTATTACAATTGCACAGTATTTAAACAGCTGAAGAGTTAAGTTCTTCCTTCAAAGAGAAAGCTGTTTTCTGGGGATTAAATTGTATTACTTTTTCAAGGTTCAGCAGCCCGACTCTGGCGCTATTCTCTTTGAGTTAGTATAGTGCAAGCTGTCGATGACTCATTCAAATGTCAATTACACGAACTTAAATCCAGGGGCCAGGAAATTGTCGAGGCTTCCAGTTGATAAATTCAATTAAATAAATCTGTGAAATTCAAGGAGGAATTACAGAACTAGCAGCTTAATAGCCGGGCTCAGTGTGTATTTGCTTAAATTAACTCGAACTTTATGGGTTCTAATGAGGGGTTTGGTTGATTTCACCCAAAGGAGGCCTGTAGGCCGATGTTATGTGTTTAACAGGCGAAGATATATGTAGGTAATACTCTTCTCTTCCTCAGCCGCGTTATAACCTCTTCGACGTCCGCTATCGTGGCATTCGGGGATAACTGCAGGGATGTTGGATGGCTGCTCACTGAAGTAAGCGAATATTCGTAATCCCGTATGCACACGTTGAAGGCTTCAATACTCTCCTTCTGCTCCCTTTGGCAGCGCTTTAATTTAAGCTTGCGGAGCCTCAGCCGTTCCCCGAATTCCTGGAGACGCAGGCGATGAAGCTGCAACTCGAGCCTTAGCTCCTCCAGCTGATCTACCATTTTTCCGTAGTCCTGAATGCTGCAGGATTGGTTCTTAACACGCTCTTTTAGCTTGCCTAGTAGCTGAGCCTGGGATAGTTTCTTCAAGTAGAGATTTCCAAGAACATGCAACTTATTAGCGGATTCGGAGGTTACTAACTCAATCTCCGCCCGACAGTTGGCTAGCTCTTCTTGGATACGCTGCTTCTCCTGCTGCAGAGAATGCAATTCCGAACACAAGTCGGGGTCTTGTGGCTGTAGCTTTAGATTTTCAAGGTCCTGCTGCAGGCTGATTATGTCGGACGAGGTGCCAGATTCTTCCAGCCTTTGTTCTGGGCATTCTTCCCCCAAGCGGAATGCCCAGGCAGCCTGCTCAAAGATCTGCTTCTCATCTGAAACAATGGGGAATACGCATAAACCCTCCTTCTTCTCGTCGTAAGCGAAGTCCAAAAAGAAACGCAGTATCTCAAACACTTGGCTCATGGCCTTTTGGCTTTTCGGCATCCGCAACCAGGTTTTGTTTACCTCTCTGGGATACTGGAGCTGCTGCAGTGCCTCCATCAGCTGGTTCACATAGCCGTCTCTGCTCAGATACGAACACTTTGCACCAGCATGGGGCAGACAAAGGTTCACGAAATCCAATATGAGCTGCCGAAGCTGTGACTCGGTCATTCTCTGCCACTCGTCCGTAATCCTCTCCAGCTTCTGCCGCAAAGACTCCTTCTGATGGAATAGGTTGCGCTTTGTGTTGGTCAGCTTCGGAAGTGGTGTTTCCCCCGCTGCAGATGTTAGGCAGGCCTTGGGATCCTTGGGGTACGAGAACCCAATCGAGGGCACCAACAGACGGCTCGCTGTAAGGCTGGATACGGGCGCGGCCGCCTTTGTTCTATCTTTTTCAATTTTGGACGCTGATGCCGTGCGCCTGTTTATGCTCGCCTGGCGCTCCCTTTCGAGGAGCTCCTTTGTGCGAAGTGGGCGAACCTCCCAGCCTGGTTCGACTGAACAAGGACTGCTGGTGAAATGTTTAGAAAATGAAGGTAATACCAAGTCCCTGCGGCGTTATCATTGGCTTACCTCATTTCTGGAGTTTTTGGCTCTTCCCAAGCTCGCTGCTCACAGCTGGCGGGTATTTTGGAAGCAGAGGCTGATCGGGTTTGGGACTTCTCCAGACGTTCTAGCAGTTCTCTAGGTCGTTCCAAGCGAATCTCCGAATGTGAAGTAACCACGGCAGGTCTGTCATGGCATTTAACACTTGATTATTATATATGTATTAAATTTGTTTAAAAACACACCTTATCTCTGGGGTGTTCAGCAGTTCCACGCGATACTGGCTGCGTACAGGCGAGGATAGTATCTGATAGTATGCTGATTTGACGGTTGAGTCATTGCGATGCCTGGATCTTTGCTGTTCCAAGAGTTTCTTAGATCGCAAAGGTAGGCCTATGTTTAGGGGACTACTCAATTTTTAGGAAAAAATCATAAGGTATTAAATGGAAGATGTTTATATATTGTCTTACATAGTCGGCGGAGTTTTCGGTTTTTCCCAGGTCCGCTGCCTGTTTTCGGGCGTTAAATATTTCTTTTTCGGAGGTACTTTGGAGGCTGATCTTGACCTCTCCATGCGTTCCAGCAATTCCTTGGGGCGTTCCAAGCGAAACTCCGATTGGGTGACGGTGATAGAGGGAATACTACAGCTTTAGGAGATCAAATTATAGGGAAATGTGATAAACATATGTATTATTAAGAGTACTTACCTCATCTCGGGAGTTTGGAACAGAGGCCCAGTTTCCTGTCGACTTTCGGAGCGTTTCCCGGATTCCTTATTATGGGATCTATGCACTTCCAGCAATTCTTTGCTCCGCAAAGGACGCGGTTCCGACCAACCATCGGCCATTCCGGGTTCCTTTGTAACAAAACTTCAGTTTATCTTATAGTTCTTCTTCGATATTGGCTTACAATTTTTAATATTTTACCGCACAAAAACAATAACAACAACCACGAGAAGAGCCCAGTGAATGATCTTCCCTGTGAATGGCCTGGAAAAATACTAGACAGCACTGGACTATCGCAAAAATACCAGATCTGGAAACACTAATTAACCGTTTTAAAATTAAAATCGAATTTCAAATTATCTTATTTATTCATTTATTTAAAATAATAGTAAATTAAAAATAATAATATACTTTATTATTTTTTTAAATAAATAATATTATTATTTTCAATTTATTATTAATTAATTTATTTTAAATAAATAATTTATTAAAATTATATAAATAATAAATTTAACTAAAATAAATAAATAAATAGAGAAAAAAAATAGATTATAATAGGTAAATAAATAATATTTAAATAATTAAATAACAATTTAATAACATTTAAATAATATTTAAAATAATGTAGCAGATCTAATTGACTTTTTATACCCTTGCAGGGTATTATAATTTCAGTCAGAAGTTTACAACGCAGTGAAGGAGACGTTTCCGACCCTATAAAGTATATATATTCTTGATCAGCATCAACAGCCAAGTCGATCTAGCCATAATTTATAACTCAGCCAAAAACGCATGAAATTCAATTCGGAAAGCTGTTCTGCATTGCGATTTCTGCGTTTAACAAAACGGCTTACTCAAATTTTCTTAAAAACTTATCTATAATTTAATTTAATTTTACATAGCTTTATTTCTTATATTTACAGCACTCCAATAGCGAAAACGAGAGCGTGCGCAGGGATCTGGGAAGCACAAGTTCATCAAGTTCATTGTAATTGTTGATTGATGATCACCTGATCGGCAGAGGTGAAACTGGAGGAGCGAGCAGCTGGGATGACAGATCTCAACCCGATGGCAGTGGAGGACGGTGATCGGATCTTGACTCCGGGCTAGTTAAAACCCTGCAGCAGGCGTAAATAATTAAAATATTTATAAATGCAATTTAAATATGTAAATGTAATTGATGGAACTCACAAATATGAATCGATAAAAGATGGTGAAATCAATGTGCAATTTTTTTGTGAAGGCGGCATTTATTTGGGATCGTTTGGGGAAAAATCTAATTATTTTGAAAGCAAAATCTAAATTTTTAAATTTGTTTTCTGAATTTTAAACATTTTTTTCGGATATTTTACAATTCTTCTAAATTTTTAAAAAATTGTTCTAAATTTTTAAAATTTTGCTGAATTTTAACATTTTTTTCTGAATTTTTAAACATTTTTTAGATTTTTTATATTTATTTAAGATTTTTTTAGAATTAAACCAATTTTTTTTAAATATTTTAACTGCCAAATTTGAATTTGAATTTAACTGCCAAATTTTAATTTGAATTTAACGACGATCAGTTTCAGTGTGCCCAGGTGCAGTTGTAAAATAACACCTAAATTTGGATTCAAACGGTTTGAGTCTGCGCTAACTTTCGCCGGCTCCGAAATGGTTTGAAACTTTGACAAAATTTACAATATGGTCACACTGGCACGTTTTTCGTGGCCCAAAGTTTTTATAACAGTTTATAACAGTTTTCAGTTGCTTGCTGCTGGTTTCTGTTCGCCTGGTACCCCAATTTGGGAAACGGGCAATTTGCATGGAAATTTTTGGAAATTTGGATGGGCTGCTGCAGGGATGTTGTTGTAAAAAGGTTGTTGTTGCCATAAGCTGTTGTTGTCGGCAACAATTAGGTATAAATGCATAAAATGAAATATAACAGTTTATACCAATTATTATTTTTGCCCAAATGTTTTTATAACAGTTTATACCAGTTTTCAGTTGCTTGCTGCTGGTTTCTGTTCGCCTGTTACCCCAGTTTGGAAAGCGGCCAAATCGAATGAAAAAATTTGCTCACTTGCATCAGTGATGCTCATCTCCATCAGTGATGCTCACTTCCATCAGTGATGATCACTTCCATCAGTGATGCTCACTTCCATCAGTGATGCTCACTTCCATCAGTGATGCTCACTTCCATCAGTGATGCTCAATTCCATCAGTGATGCTCACTTCCATCAGTGATGCTCACTTCCATCAGTGATGCTCATTTCCATCAGTGATGCTCATCTAGCTATTTTGCATTATTGGGACAAAATGGAAGCTCACTAACTGCCAGTGATGCTCATCTAGCTATTTTGCATTATTGGGACAAAATGGCATCTCACTAACTGCCAGTGATGCTCATCTAGCTATTTTGCATTATTGGGACAAAATGGCATCTCACTAACTGCCAGTGATGCTCATCTAGCTATTTTGCATTATTGGGACAAAATGGCATCTCACTAACTGCCAGTGATGCTCATCTAGCTATTTTGCATTATTGGGACAAAATGGCATCTTACTAACTGCCAGTGATGCTGATCTAGCAATTTTGCAATATTTGATGTTTTTTCCATTGTCCACCGCAAGAATGACCTTCTATTGATCCTGTTTAAATTATCCCACCCAAAAAAAAAGCCGCAACCTCATAAGTCAAAAAGGTGAGGTATGTGGAAATGTCGGAGGTCGTTTCCAGTGGTTTCGGCTCGGTCTTGGTGGCACCCTCGTCGTGCTGCCCCAGCACCTGGTCCGCTTCTGCTCCTCCTCGTCCTGATCCTCCTTGCCAATGCTCTCTGTCTCGCCATCGGCATCCGCTTTGAGTTCCTGGCAGCATCCTGCAATTAAAGTTAAAAAAGGATTGTTTTTGGGAAAAAAAACTAATATTAAAAAAATCAAACCTAAGTCAAAAGTGCATGACAAAATTTTAATGATGAAAAAAATCGAGAAGTTTTTTAATATAAAAAATCAGTCAAAAGTGCATGACAAAATTTTAATGATGAAAAAAATCGAGAAGTTTTTTTAATATAAAAAATCAGATTTTATAATACAAAATAATATTTTTCCAAGTCAAGGAAGCATTACCGACCCCATAAACCACATATATTCTTGATCAGCATTAACATGCGAATCTTTCTAGACATGTCCGGAGGAAATCGATTTTTTGGCAATTTTTGCGAAATTTGATAAGGGGTTACATCATTAAAATTAGCAAAAATGTCCAAAAATTTGGATTTCTTAAAATTTTAAATTTTGTATGCAGTTTTTTTAAATTAATAAAAACTAACACAAAACTGCTTTCCGAATCGAAATTAATGCATTTTTGGCTTAGTTATGATATATTTTAATTGTTACCTGCAAGGGTATACAAACTTTGGCTGGCCAAAGTTAGCTTTCTTTCTTGTTTTAAATTAAAATAAAGTTTTCAAAATTTAAAGAATAAATGATTACCATTATTCTAGATACCAAATTTTTACCAGTAGATTTTAACACTGAACTCGTATCACCACATTACCATAACTCATATAGTTATAGTATTGTTGTCTACCAATTTCCCTCAACCCCAACAGATCGGATAAATGGAAACCAAAAATGGGCATTCTTCAGCAATTAAAGGCGGCACTCCACCACGTTACCTTTATTAACTTTAAAAACGGCTTCCATTGCAATGGATGGTGGTGGCGAGTCCGGGAATGCATACATAAATCATGGATGAAAGTGAAAATTGGTTGCACCTACCATGGGATCGGGTTTGGACCCGGGCTCCCAGGTGGGCGCCGAAAGGTGCTGCCTCCGCCGACCCGTGACACCGCCCATTTGGGGCGTAATTACGGAACAATATACACACGCGTCGGAACTGGAGCCAGCAGGCAGCAACGAGAACGTGGAGCCTGAAGACAGGGATTGGGAACCAGCGGGCTACAGCGAGCAATCCCCCACAAGGACCGCAAAGGTGTTGCTGGGGGCTGCTGCAAGTACATTGTAAAAATAAATGGATATGTGAATAACTGAAGAATATATTTTTTCCCTATATTTTCCTTATATTTTTTAAGGAAAAAAAGCGAATGCTAAGTATTTTTAATGCTGGGGAGAAGGAAGGATTATATGGCTTCCAAGAAAATGAGATTGCTTAAAAATATTTGAAAAACAATTACAATAAGTATTAAAAACATTTCTGAGTGCACTCTGCCACTTTGCCGTTGGCTCACACCTCCTTTTTTTGTTGTTGTATTTTGAGCGCTGCGCTATTGCAATTTAACCGCAATAAATAATAGAGAAGTTGTTAAATTTGAGCGCACGCTGAGAGCAGGAAACGCTGGAAAAATGTAGGTTAGGCAACCGAGGATAATGAGGATGCTATCATCGGTCCATTGTGGCCGCATGGATAACTAGTAACTACTTCTCCGGCTGACCAAAACGAGACTCGTCGACGCGACTGGCGTGAAAATGTTATTTGTACATATTTGATATACATTTTAATTGCGAGCTATGAAAAATGCAGGCTCTGGCCGAAAAGTGCGCTTAAAATAATTAAATTTATTGCAGCATCAGCGATTTGGCAGCTGACTAAGCGAAAAGCAACCGCAAATGTCGACACAGCCAAGTGATTCGGGGTACCATGAATAATATGCATCACATGTATCACTAAATAATTTTGCATTTATTTCATATAATACAGTACACATTGCATTAAACTAAATAAAATCTATTTAATATATAATATATATTTAATATGTAATCGTACACAATCATCAACCCCATATACGCCGCTCTCCCTGTCCTCCGATTTGTCTTAGGCTGCATACATATATAGCATATAGCATATGTGGTATCTGATGCATCGCTGCCACCTCTTCGATTTGTTAACAACAATTATTGCTATTTGAATGTATTATTGATTCAAGTGTATCCTTTTGTTTTGCCTGTTTAAAACCTAACATCATATATTTTTTTTTTGTTTGTTTTGCGGTGTTTCAAGTTCCCACAGGATATTGCCTGCGCGTATTTGTGTGTGTTAGTTAAAATATATAGTTTCCATTTAAAGTTGTTGTGTACACGAGACAAACAATTGAACAATTTAAAACAGTTTGCTAGTAAACCAAGCCCAGTTCGTTAACAATTTGAATTCGGTCGAGTAAACTATTTACATGGGAGCATAGGCGTATAAATATAAATATAAATTCACCAATAAAGTGGTTTAAAAACACTGCAAGCCCAGAGCTCGTTGTACAATTGAACTAGAAGCAATCAGAGTGCAATCTTATGGCAAAACTTAACATTTGGTTGCGATTGCGGTGAGCGAGCCAAAACGGAGGGTTTGTATACGCAACTATTCCTTGAATAAATCGCCATACCGACAAGGCTTATGATATTTTTCGGGGAATTTTTGGAGACATAAAGTTACAACTGACAAATCACGGAGACGAATACAAAAAGAGCAATTAAAATACAAATTTGTAACACACTACGTTTGATATGACGGCACTAAACTTAATCAAGGCCTAGTTGTACGTACACACAGTTTAGGTGGTTTTAGCGAACATAGGAATACAGACAGATATACATAGGTGTGTGTGTACTGTATACACGTAGTAAGTAATTTATATACGTATTTTATAATAATAATAATAACAGTAACTATTTAACGCAACATATGGTCGACGAATAGGGGGAAAATGGAAAATGGGGTAAGGGTACGCGGGACGGTAACGCAGGCGCTCAACTGGAATTAAACATTAATCAACAAACCGACCACAAATCGACTGCCACTCATTCCTGGCAGAAGCCCTCAGTCTCCTCGATGGCAAAGGTCAGCTTCTCCACCAGCTGATCGTAGCTCTTGTACGGCGGCAGGTCCAGCCGATTGAAGCAGGTGTGGGAGCGCGGCAGCCACGTCTCTTTGCCCACCTTCTCGATGCAGAAGCGTTGCGGCCCGTTGGAGCCCATCAGCTCGGCGAATCCACCGACCGGGACGCGACACGTTCCTGTGACAAACTGAAGCAGGCGGGCCCGCTTCTCGTTGTCCGTTTCGCGCACAAACTGCGGTCACAATTATTTAAAATTAGAGAAAACAAATGTATAAGTTAAGAGGAAAACCAACCTGCCAGAACCAGACGACCTGCTTAGAGTTGCGATTGTAGTGCCTGTAGATAGTGTTGCGCTGCCAGTCCTCCACGTCCACGTCCTGCATGCCGCACAGAATCAGCTCCAGCTCGCGCTCATCAAAGTACTTGAGCCACTCCAGGGGCACCACCTCGTTGAAGCCCTCCAGGAACGTCTTGGTTTGTTGCTCAATGCCACTGCAATGACCCTATTACTTAATTTGCTGTTGTAAAGCAAAGTACTCTGCGATACTTACCGCGTCATTCGCCACTCGGTCATCAGGGTGATGTACTCCTCCTTGTTCTCCTCCGTCACGCGCTCCTTCTCGCCGTTCTCCTTCAGCTCGTGGTGGATGATCTGGCCGAGCACCTCAAAGTCGACGCTGAACCACAGCTCCAACCCGCACTCGTCGATATTGTTGTCCTTCACCCAAATGAGTGAGTTGTAGAACTCCGGATCGATCGTCTCGATGTCCTTGATGGTCAGCTTCTTGTTCAGCATGCGCTTGTAGAAGGGCATGGTGAATCCGCTGTAGATGAACCTGCCGTGGTACAGGGCCATCGCGATGAAGCGTCCGATGAACTTGAAGTACTGCAAGTGGTCGGGATTCACGTAGGAGGCGGGGTTTATCTGCAGGCTGTAGTTGTTCTTGTTTGCGTACTCGAACAGGCAGTACATGGGATTCAGGACCTCGTGCGAGAGCAGGAAGAACCACTCACGCGACACACCGCCGTAGTCCAGGCCCTCTTCGCCGCGGAAGATGATATATAGACGCCTCCGCAGCTCGTAGGCGGGCAGTCGCATGATCTGGTGGTAAGAGTCCTCGAACAACGTTTGACGCGTAACCGTGATCTTGATGTGCGACGGCAGAGCGTTGCTCTGGCACAGATACCGGAACTGCGACAACTTCCAGCGGAAGCTGCGCTCATAGGCACGCGGCACGCCATAGACACCCTTGGCTCCCTTGGGTGCTCCCGGTCGCGGATCCTCGAAGGTGGTCCGACGCGTATTGTGGTCCACAAAGAAACGCTCGCCGGCGGCCGTGTAACGGATTTCCCAACCAGGCGGCAGGGGGCCTTCGTTAATTAGGCTGACCTCCTGGCCCTGGGTGCGCGGGTCCTCCCACTGGGTGGTGCGGTTCTTGTGGTTCACAAAGTACACCCGGTTGTCCGACTGGATCTGTTTACAAAGATATTTTGCATTTCAGAGATATTTGCTGGAAAAATATGCGATTCCGCTTACCTTCTTCTCCCAGCCATCGGGCAGAGGACCCAGTGCATCCTCGTCGTCCTGCGTGACCTGGGCGGTCACTGCTGTTGGTTGCTGTTGCTGCTGGGAATAGAGATACCGCTGGTTGCCCTGAGACACCACATGGGCCCTCTGTCCCTGCCAGTGCTGGAAGTGCATCAGACGCTCGCTGTTCGGCCGCTGCCAGGTGGTCTTCCTGGTGTTGTGATCGACATAGTAGACACGGCCCCGTCCATCCTTCCTTATCTCCCAGCCAGGGGGCAGCGGTGTCGGCTTCTCCCAGTAGGTGGAACGGGTGTTGTGATCCACGTAGTACCGCCGGCCATACTGATCCAGGCGAATTTCCCAGCCAGCGGGCAATGGCTCATCATCCGCCGGCTGTGGCTGCAGTTGCGGATCCGTGCTTTGGCTCACCGGCAGTCCCCCCACGGTCTGCTCCATGGGACCTCCCACAACTGCGGCACCTGCCACAGCCGGTCCTCCAGCTGGCAAATAAACCGCAGCCGGCGTAGTGTTCTCCGGTAGCGCTCCGTAGACTTGCGTCAGGGGTCGTGCAAGTGCAGGAGCTGGCGGCTGTTGGGGATACGATGCTGTCTGTGGCACCGCCGCCGCCGCTGCACTCCCATTGACCATTCTCAGGGGCTGCGGCTGAGCCTGCGATTGCTGCTGCTGTTCCCACACAGGTGGATCTGGCGCAGATCTTCTGGGAACCGTACCACCATTGGCCAAGGGTGAGCGGTTCTCTCCGCCATTGATATTGCCGCTGCTCGAATGCAGTCGCATCCGTGCACGCACTCCGCCGTAAATCATGCAGCTACGGCCGGCGGCCGCATCGCTGACCATTGCCGGATTAACCGCTTGGACGGGTGTATTGCCATTCTGTTGGACCGCCGCTCCCTGGATCTGCAGCTTGCTCATGTCCAGTTTGAGGCCATTGAGGATGGCCACCAGCTCGCCGCTCTTTGTCTGCCGGTTGTCCGACTTGCTGGTGACGAACAGGTCAATGGTCAGCTCGAGGAACTCGCAGCGCCCATTGTAGTGCTGCAGGATGTGCGCCAGGTTAATGCTACGTTCGCCCAGCATGGCATCTTTGCGGAAACTGGAGTGATCCAGCACCTTGAAGTGCAGCGTGGAGTTGGGCGTGATCTAAGTAAGAAAGAGGAATGGATTAAGTTGTGATCAAGTAAAATTTCGAGTATTTAGCCGCTCACCAGCACTGTAAACTCCTCGTTCCACTTGGGCAGATAGCTGTTCTTAACCAGGTCCGTCTTTCGCTTGCTCTTGTTGTCGATCAAGAGCTCCACGTAGGGATTCGGCTTCAGGAAGCCATTGTTGCGCAGAGAAGCCTCCTCGACTAAAAGGGATTCCGGAAGATAATTAATTGTAAACTTTCGTTCCTTTTGTTCTGTGTTTGCTTACTTGTCACGCTTAATTGATAGTATCCTTGATTGGCACTCCCACTGGCCCCCGACACCGAACCCGATCCCGAACCGCCATTTGAGGTGGGATTGGGGCTGGAAGACGTCGTGGCTCCATTCACTGTTTGTCCGCCGGCCTCCATGCCGCCGGAAGCTGCTGCACCCGCTGGCAGCCCATTTCCATCGGCCATTTAGGGGCTGTATGTGTGGTCCGTCTCCTCCTCCTGCTACTGCCTTTTGTTGAGTGACCTTCAGCGCCTCGGGGAGCTGTCGCTCTAAAAGAGAAAGCGAATATTAAGCAGGGTGTATTGGCAGAGGAACTGTCGAATGGGAAATTGCGTGTTTGGGAGCTGATAAGATAAGTCAGGAACCCTGCCCAAATAATGACTCTCCTCCACACGTAAAAGTACTTTCCATATTAATAATACCAATTTTAAAAGCTTCCACTAAATAAAATTTAATTTAACTTACTAATGTGTACAAGTTATTTACTGAGTATACTTCGGGTAAAAAAACAATGTTATATTTGCAGTTCCCTTTAAACGCGTTTAGCTCTTGACAAGTTTTAAGACCTAATCTTGGGAGCGAGATAATGCCACAGTTCTATATCATTATGAAAGCGACTAGCCGCAGATAAGATATAGGGTATATGTAGTATATAGTGTAAACGCCAGTAAGGCAACAAAACTGTTAACAAACAAGCCTCTAATTTTATTTTTTTCGAGTTATAAACTCGTCGAAACCGAAGGTAGCAACCGCTTTTCCAGCTTTAATTTCGTGGCTATAGCTACAGTGCGTTTCAGCCACATAATATGTCGACTTAGGACAAAGAACAAAAATAAGTAATAATTAGATAAACTTGTGACTTGTTTTCATTAAGCCTCAACTTAAAACAAACCAAGTAAGTATGAGTGAGGGAGCGTAAAAAACTAAATAAAGTGTACTGATAAACAAATGCATATAAAATAAAGTTTTTGTATATCTCACAATTATTTATTTATGGCTGGGTGGTTTTAGTTCGATTTATTTTTACGTTTCTGTAGAACTTTCACTGGTTAAGAATTTGCTTTTATTTCCTGATAAATTTTATTGCAGCCTTACGTTTCTGGGGAAGCACTGTTTCCAGTGGTATTAATTTTCGCCATAATTCGCGGCTGTCTGTACATTTTTTTTGTACAATTTCCCCGCCGATTGCTGGTCATCTATAATTTTGATAGCAAACACCCAGACCAATGCACACACAATAGATTGTATAATAATACTATGTGGCATGCTATGTGACTCATCAACAAAAACAAGTACACCACGCGAAAAAGAAAACGGTAAATGAACACAGTATTTCGATTTCGGTTTCAATTGTTGAATGAACATTGCATATTGATTGGGCGACCGACCGTCCAGTTGTTGCGATTTCCCTTATACTGCAGTTTTTTATTATGATTATTTAAGTAGTTTTTTCCACGTAAACAAATGTGCAAGGCAATTAATTGGTTCTTTTCTACAGTAAGATTGAACTTCTTTATGAAGGAGCTAACCTATTTATTTATCTGTGATATTTAACCATTTTACTTTAAATTACTATTACAATTTAAGAATTTTGTACACATATTTCCCTTTTTAAAACCTTGCCAAGTATCTGTTCACCATAGCAAGCTTTCACTGTAGTTGTTGATTTGCCAACATTTGCAGTTGCTCGCAGCGAATCTTTTGCAATTGGTTTTGGAAACTTTTTTGAATGAATTTCGATTGAGACATCACATGTGATCACTTAGAATGCAATTAGCACGCACTTTCCGCCTTGCTAGCTTATCATTGGCGGATATTTTGTGTGTTTATCAGCCGGACCGGACCCGGCCGGAGGAAGCCAACAATAATGCGAGAACAAAGGGGATTTATCTGTGGGGACAAGAACAAGAAGAAAAGCGAAAAACACACAGCACAAGTAATCAGCAACAGCTGTCAATAAATCATGCACTTTCCAGCGGGGCGGGGGAGGAGGGCCCCACACACCCGCACTTGAACTTCCTTGACGTGGGACAATTATCGACCGATGGGCTCCAGTCACCCATACACCGACGCAGGTTGCTCACTATCACTTACACTTTTCCACTTTACCGAATATATTCGTGGTCATGTAACGCACGCCAAACGCCAAAAAAAAAAAAAAAAGTTGCTACCCCTCCCACTCCCACTCCATCACTCCCTCTTCGTGCATGTATGTGTTTGAGTGTTCGTTTGTAATTGAGGCAAAGGTCGCGACGCTTGTCTCGCTCGCACTCGCAGATGCAGGTGCTTTACCGCTTGCAAATGGAAATTCCAAGTGTCCAAAAGGTGTTTTCTGTTTGCAATTTCTGGGTTTTTCTTCGTTTTATTCTTCCTCTTTTACCTGCCGTCGCCTTACCTTCTGCTTCTTCTTCGCTGCTGCTGCTGCTCCTACAACTTGCGTCTGTGTTTGTTGTCTCCTGCTAGCGTGTGTGTGTGTGAGGGTTCTTGATTGATTCCGTTTTCCTGGCAATTAAATTGGTGGGTGGAATATTGCATTGGACTCGCCGTTGGCGCTGCCGCGTTTTCCCTAGGTCTAAGTACTTGCGCGCACTTGATTTTGTCGCACTAATTGTTTATTTGTTATTGTTGTTCGCTTCGTCTTGCAGTAGGGCCAGTGTTACCAGATGCACTAAACTTTCACCCCTAAAAAATTCCCAAAAGTGAAAAATTTCACCTAAAAAATCCACACCTAATACTCAAACCGCATCTGATATTCGAACCACATCTGATACTACAACCTCTGGTGAACGAAAAGTCTGGTAACTGTCGAGAAGGGTGGGAACTTTGCTAAGCAATAACGTGATCAAGCTACGTAAGGTCACGTAATATTATAATGAAAGACATTTTATTATTATTTTATTTATTTCTTGTTTATTTTTCAATTCAATAATTATTGTAAAATGAAAATATAAATCAAAGAAAATGGTTATTTTGTATATTTTAAAAACTTAAAAATGTATAAACATTTAGATTTTATTTTAAAATAATTAATTTCCGTTGTAAGACAGTATAAATTATAAACAGTCTTTATTATAGAAAGCAAAATATTTATAAAATAAATATAACTACCGTGCTTAAATTGCAGCTGACAATAAAGTAAAATTAAATAATAGTTTCTAAATTAAGTTTTTAAAATGCTACCAGTCTGAGCGTTGATAAACCAATAATTTATGTGAAGTCGTAATATTATGTTAGATAAATAATCAAACCTTCATTAGTTTATCTTTACGGCCCCGTTAACAGTTACTAAATATACACTCACTTTGCTTTTTTATTGCACTTTTAATGCAAACAAACTGCGCACAAAAAGTGAAATTTCCTAGATTCCCCAATCTTTCCAGCCACAAAAAACGACAACTATTTGTTTAAACAATTATTTAGCAGCCGCTTTAAATGCGAGCGCCAAGTTCCGTTGAGAGCGACCGCTCTCCGCCAAGAAAACTTCGGTGTCTTTAGCTTCTTCAGCCTTTTTCACACATTGCCACCGAGTTTCCGAGTTTTTGGAGCTTCGCGTTGGAGCTTCTTCGGAGCGAGAACCGCGTCGTCACTGGAAGTGAAAATGATCGAAAATTTAATGTGCCGTCCGCTCTGGATCTTCAGTCATTCGAGTCGCGGGCTTTGAGCGAAGCAGAGGCGGAAGTCGCACTAACGGTTTACGGATTACGAAAGGATTACGCGACCAAAGGATACGCAATGAGGCAGCTGCTGGTCTACGCGATAATTACGTCGGCCTTGTTTTACTTTTCCGAAGGTACAAAACATCGACCAGCAAGTGCAAGTGTTTTTAAATTATAATATAAAATAAAATCTTACCAATTGCCTACTTCAGTTAAATTATTTAACTATTTTTGTTGACTTTTCAACTTAAAAATAGTTAAAAATCTCCCTACAAATTTTAATATTTATTAAATATTACTTCAATATATATTAAGAATAAATTAAACTTCCAATTAATAATATTTTCATTATATTAAAAAGGAAATTTCCCACAAATTATCAAAACTGCTAAAGAAAATTGTGCGAAAATGGTTGGATTTCCCAATGAACTTAACTCTTTACACCATCTTGACGTGTTTCTTTTTCATTTCTTTGTTTTTCCTATTTCCGGACTCTGGCCGAACCCAAAGGCAAACCCTGCCCCGAAAAGACACGACCTCACAAGACGCGCTGTGATGCCTTCTACAAGTGCCGGGAGCTGCCCTCCAGTTCCCACGTTTGGGTTCCAGTCCGCTGCAACGAGGGTCTTGTCTACGAGTCCAGCCTCGGTAGCTGCGTTCTGCCTGGCGAGGATTGGGAGTGCATTACGCCCAGCGAGATGAGCTCCACGCAGTCGCCATCGAAGCCGGATGCGGACATACTAATAGTCAACGACTTGGATGAGGCGGGTCTGCTGCTGAGCGATTCCTCTCACAAGGATGATGGCACGGTTGAGATTGTTTTGGACTCCACTCTAAGCAGTGAGGAGGAGGAGCCGGTGGGAAAGAGCAAGCTCCATGCGGAGGAGGATCCCTCCTCTAGTCACCACTTTGACTCTAGTGGCGACGGCGAGCTGGTGGAACTTGATTCACCACCTCCGGCATCATCACCGACTCCCCTGAAGCCCGAGAACCGTGAGGAGGAGGAGGAAACTTTGCCCAGCTTGGAGCACAGAAGCGAAGTGGAGAAGCTGAAGGCAGAGCTCAAGCAGGCGGCCGGAGTTAGTGAATTGTCCAAGCCGGGATCACCCATTGATCCCAACCTGACGGCTCACTTGCAGAGACTGTCCCAGTTGATCGATGGACTGCAGCAGACGTACCAGAAGACCGAGAAACCCCAAGCGGAGATGCGTCCAGACCAGTTGAACGCCTTTCTGGCTCACTTTGACATCAAGAATCGCTACGAGATGATGAATCCCCTGGAGCAGAGTACTCCCAGCACCACCAGCAGCACCACAGAGGCGCCGGTGACCACTCCAAAGTTGCCAGAGCCGCACTCGAACAAGACTCGCCTTCAGGAGCACTTGAGTCACCACCGTCTGGAGCCAGAGACAAAGCTGATGTTGACCAACGCCCTGCCCTATTCTGCTCACGGTTCCAATGGCCAGGGCTATGCGAACTCACAAATAGTGGTTAATCGTCCCGAGGGTTCCGTGATGTTTGCCCTGCCCCCCAATTACGGGATGAGCCAGGAGCAGGGTGCCTATGCCAACCATCATCCCGCCCAGAGTCACGAGTACAGCGACCACGAGCCCAAGATATCCGAGGACACGCTGAAGACCGTTCTGGAGCTGTCCAAGCAGATGATAGCTGCCCAAAATCTGCCCAAGGTGCTGCCCAATCCCGGCTACAATGGCTATTACCAGCCCATCCTGCAGCCGGTATTCATGTCGCCGCAGGGCAATCCCTTCCAGCAGTACTATGGCATGCCGGCTCCCCTGAGTGGCCACTACATGCAGCACAAGAAGCACTCCTCGTCCGGCAGTTCCTCCAACAGTGGTGGTTACAACAAACCCAGCACAACGATAATACACAACAACGTGATCCCCGTGCACCTGTCCAGCACGAGTTCCGGCGAAAAGGAGGTGTTGGACACGTACGGCAACAGCCTAGGTGTGTACCCCAGCATGGACAAGCATCAGTCCAGTTCGAGTGGAATGGAGTACATGACCACGGCCAGGCCGGTTTCGATGACAACGATGGCGAGTACCTACGCCTCCTACGGCTCCCAGTCTCCGTTTGCCAATGACTACACACTGACCACTCCGCGACCCTTCGAGCACCAGCCATCGGCCGCCACGGTGGCCACCTACTACACGCCGAGTCCGCATCTGGGCGAGCACAATGCCAACAGGGTGTACCAGCCCACCGAGAGCTATCCCTCCTCGATGAACATGCCCAGGCCGATGGATATGTTCCCCGGACAAATCGAGGCGGACAGGGTGGCCATTCGACCCAATTCGCAGAAAATCGAAAGCATGGAGATGATGGGCGATGACGACTTGATTAAGGCCAGCTACCAGAGCGCTTCATCTTCGGGAGCTGGCGGCGGCGGGAATGGGAACACTCTTCCTCACGTACTGACCTACAGCAGCGACATGAGCCAGCAATTAGCACCTGGCAGCGGGTATCTCGAGCAGAGCTACAGCCACCATAAACACCCGCAGCACCCGTATATGCCCAGGCCCACGATGGGCAGCAGCATCTACAGCGATGCGGAGGGCAACATGGAGATGAGCATGTTCACCAGCAGTCCGAATCTCAATCCATTTACGGCGGAGAAGATAAAGTATCCGGGAGGCGGTTCCTCCTCGCCCAACGGCCAGCTGGTGAACTTTAATGGGAACTTTATCAGCCTCGATGTCTTCCAGAAGTCCATACTCCCGCTGATGACCAAGACCTCCTCTGGGCTGAGTGATCTGGGCAATGTGGAGGTCATCACCTGCCAGCCGGGGGTAAGGCAGCCGAATCAGACCGACTGCACCCGGTACTTTGTGTGCAGCAAGAAGGATGGCAAGGTTCTGTCCTACTCCTGCCCTCCCTACACCGGCTTCAACAAGCAGACGAGGATCTGCGATGCCCCCACCTATGCTCAGTGTGGCAATGTGATGCCTGCCTTCAGTGGCTACACCATAGACACCAATAGGCGGCTCCAGATGGAGACCATCAAGATGCTAAACGAGGCGAAGAGAAGGCAGGAGGCCGCTTTGAAGGCCCAGAGCATAGCCAATCTCCTCCAGCAATATGGGAGTAGCAGCAGCAGCAACATCCAGCAGCAGCAGAATGACAGGCCTGGCATCTCCTCCAACATAGAGAGCGATCCCATGGACTCGTATGTGGTGAATCTGCCGGATATCCAGCTAGCCACCACCACCAGCAGGCCCACCATTATCCAGGCCAATATTGGAAGTGGGTTCGGGGGTAATATCGGGAGTAGCTCCTCCTCCGCGTCCTCTTCGACGCCGGCCAAGAAGCGAAAATACTACTGCAAGGAGGGCGACAAGATCCCGGACCAGACCTCCATCTCCAGCTACTTTGTGTGCTACAAGAATGCTCAGGGCCAGATGAAGGGCCACAAGATGAGCTGCTCCAAGGGCCTGCTCTTCTGCCCCAAGACCCTGCTCTGCACACTCGCCACCAAGTGCACCGACTAATCACCTGGAATCTGGAGAATATTGTTGAGAATTTTTCCACAATTGCCACCTAAATTTAAGTTATTTATTCTAATTTTAGTTTGCGACCAAAACGAGACCCATTAAACTTTGGAACGAAAAAAATAAACCCAAGAAATATACCTGCGTCTTTGTTTTCTTTTTGGGAAAGTTTTTCAGCTTGTTCTAGACCAAATAAGACCTTGCCCTTCCGGTTTCTGGGCTTTTTAGCCTGAAGAACTGACCTTCTAAAGTGACTCCGAACGTGATATGTGCCAGGCGGTCACTAAAAGTCAGGAGCGGAGTTTGATTGCTCAAGGGAAAAATGGAAAAATTAAATAATAAAGTAAAAGTAAACAAGTATTTCAAAGAATTTATAGTAAGTATGTTAATAAATTATTTCTTTAAATTTACAGAAAGTTTACTAATTAAATTATTACATTATTTTGCTGCCCTAAATGTTATAATTTCATAAAAAATAACTAATTTGTATTCATAATTATTTATCCAATAAAAGTATGAAGTAATGTGATCCTACAGAAATTTTTTCTATCTAAAAATCAGTTGTTTATGTTTGTTCCCAACATTACTTAAGTACACCATAGTTACGCTTAAAATAAAACCTGTTAAGAAAGCGGAAAAAACACACAAAAAATTGCAGCACTAACATAATAAATAATATATTTATTATATGTACAACACTTCCCACAGCTCATATTATTTAAAATAACATTAAAGTTCTTTGCCCTTCGGAGTTATTCCGCCCCTGTTTTTAGTCACTCGATTTTCACTTTTTTAATGTCTCCATGGAGGCTTTTACTTGTTTATGTTTTTAGTGCGCTGCCCAAATGGTTATCATTATTATTACATGAAACAGTTGACATTTACGCTCGTGCACTCAGAGATCTAGTTTAATTATAAACACTGATTCATTGAAATTGACAATAAACTGAGTGCAGATGTACCAAGAAAATATTTAAAGATTTTCTTACGCTGTGTAGTAGAGTAGTAAAAAAAATTGTGGGATGACATGTAGCGTTTAATTTTATGATTATCTTTATTGGCATGAAGTCAAGTGTGAACTATTAAAGACAAAAACATTTTTAAACTATTTTTAGACGTTGAAATATATTGTAGAAATTGAAAACATGTTGTTTGTGTTTTTGACTTCGCACCGGCAAAATGTTTTAAGAAATAAATTTCAAGTTTAAAAAATACAAACCCTATGGCAATCATCATTATTATTACATGAAACTGCTAACGCTTTACGCTTGTACACTCGAAGATCTAGTTTAATTATAAACACTCATTCATTGAAATTGGCATTAAACTGAGTGCTGATGTACTGAGAAAATATTTAAAGATTTCCTCAAGTGGAGTTGACTGGTTCACAGGTCGCTTATTAGCGTAGTGGGATGGCATTGAGTAAAATGTAAAGTTTTAATAAAAAAATATTTGTAAACTTCTTTTTATACTTTTTATATATTAGAATAAAACTATTTATATATCGATGACCCTTTCCTAATTCCACAAAAAACAAAAACCACTCTTTAGGGCACCGGAAAACCCTTTCTTTACTTCCAGAAAACATTAACGAACAGCCATAATCATAAGTTAAAATAATTTAAAAAGCAAAAGTGTAAAGGGCAGAGCCTTTCTTTATGTACCTTATTGTGGTTCTTAGATTTCACTTTCAGCTGCGGTGGCTCCAACCCCGTAGATACAATTACCCATGCCAGATGAAGATGCTGCTTTTGACCCTGCCCGGAGAGATTATTGTTATTACTATTTTTTGTTTGTCTTGGCGCGTGTGCCTGTCTAGAAAGTGACAGTTTCTGTGCACACTTCTAGGTAAAATCCACTTTCTCCTTCGACCGCACTCATCTGAGGCCCTTTCCTATGCTATCCATACTCTAATTAGTCGCTAATAATTGTTTAAACGCACTGGCACACACATCAATTTAGGCGCATTGACGGGATGCCTGAGCACGCGTTGCTGTGCCGCCTAGAAATTGTTGATTTGAGACTCACGCTCCTCCCAACTCTCACTCTGGACTGTACAATACATATATACAGAGATGTATTCATATAAAAAGAGTCGTGAAATAGACCCCAAAGCGAGGTACAGTTCACAAATATGCCAGTTTTCCACAGTGGACACTTGTGTTAAGTCAGAAACTTCACTTGCGTAACCCTCCGGCGAGTTCATTGGCTTTCCACCAAGAGCACCATTTCCACAGGTGACCTCTGGGGACCTTCACGAAGAAAGTTGTGTGTCGGCTTTGGTCTGCAGAGAAATAAATATTAGCTGGTGCAATTAACCAAAGCATTATAAAGTTGCTTATAGGTACTTAGTTTTGGCAAGTGCATTGTATAATGTGTTATAGGAGGTTGTTTTAGGTGAAAATGCACTTTTAATTTAATTTTTTATGATTTCAGGTTACGTGTATAAAAATAAGACCTTGATAAGAATAAACAACTTCAAAATCGCCTTAAAAGTAGGAAGTTAAATAAAAATCGAAGCATATTTGTAAGCTGAAACGTTTTAAATGCAATCCAACTCCCACAACTTTTCCCAGGTAAAACTCAACCTTGTAAACTCCGTTCTAAACAGTTGAATTTTTATTAGTTTTAACCATTTTGAACCTGCCATTCTTCGTTCCCATTCGATTGATATAAGCTTTTAGAGTTTTCTCAACAACTACTTACAATTCCATTACATTTACTAATTATTAAATTGTATGACGTCTTTGATTTTTGCTTTGCGCTTTTCAACAACATTTAAAAACTACGATTCAACATTTGCTTCCACATATTGCTTATAAGGGGAAAAGTTTTTGGGAGAGTTGTGCCACGATTTGGCCATATATAATATATGTATATTTGGTTTCTTGTTCGTTAGAAGAAATGCATATAAACATTGCTTTCGTGACTATTTGGGGTTTCTCTGTTTACAATTAATTTGTTTCATACAATATACTACAAGGTTTTCATTGGGTTTCATTAGCTTTAAGGGTTTCTCTTTGCAACTAACAAATTACTAGAGTAGTTTTTGGTTTTACTGGCTTTAGATTAGTTTAAAAGTTTTACCCATTACGCTTAGGTTGCATTAGTTTATAATACAATTATCACATTCCTTTTGATGATGATATATATACTCAGTTTAAATCTTTGCTCCTCGACTCGATCTAAAAACTATATAGAGACTCGCTACGCCCGGCTAATCCGCGATTATTATTGCTTAGGGTTTAGTATTTCTAGCAGCAATGCAACTCAGGGGACGTGAATTTAATTGCGATTTATCACTAGGCGGCCTTACGGACTAGTTTCACTTAGTTTTCTAGCATCTGACATTTAAAGCGCACAGAGAGAGGAACACAGTAGCGTAGCAGACAAAAACCAAAGAGATTGCATCCCTTCCTTCCAGCCTCCACTTCCTAGAACATTCCTAGACCATTCCGAATCCCTCGCTGCCCTCGCTTATGGCCAGCAGCAGCGACTTCTCGAACTGCTCGTAGCTCTCGTAGTCCGGCAGGCACAGCTGGTTGAAGCTGTTGGTTGGTAATCGAAAAAGTTTTCTTTTGGTAAAAAAAATATAAATTCCCAAGGGGAGGAAGAACTTCACCCACCAGGTATGCGCTGTGGGCAGGTTGCCAAATGTAGGGGCGGCCGTTATCTGAAACTGCGGATTCAGCTCCTGGAAGCCACCCGGCGGCAGCTGGGAGCAGCCCGTGGTGAACTGCAGCAGCCGGGCCATCTCCGTCTGGCTAAAGTTGCTGACGCCGGCCCAGAACCAGGCTAGAACCCGCCGGAACTCCGCCGAGTTGCCGTTGGCAATGTGATGCGACTTGAAGTCGCTGATGGAATACTCACCGGTGCCGCACATCAGTAGCTGCAACAAAGAAAAATATAATATAATATAAATAATTGGCGAAAAATGTAATAAATAAACTAAAAGTTAAAGAGATTGATTCACTAAACTTAGCTCACCTCCAGTTCGTTCTCATCGAAAATGCTTAGAAGATTATCTGGTATTATGGAATTGAGACCCTTGAGAAAGCTGTCCACCTCATCCTTGACATTATTGCACAGACGCTGCTGGGCCAGGGAATCCAGATACTGGTTCTTGGTGGCATTGGTCACGCGAGTCCTGGCCCCGTTGGGAATCAGTTCAATGGTCTTGCTCAGCTGCCCGCTGCTGGCGTCGTACATCTCCTCCACAAAGTACAGCTCTAGGGTGTCCGTGGCATCTAGATCAGTGTCCAGGATGTACTTGATTTTGGACAGATACAAGTCAGGGTCATCTTGCTCAAAGTACTGGAAGAAACAAGGCACAGAAAAGTTATTAATCAAGTTCTCTGAAAACCCTATATTATCTCACCTTATAGTGCACCCTTAGCCCAATGAGTTGGGCCAGAAAGGAGCGACTAAAGCGAGCTCGGACCAGCTGGCGATAGCTGCCTCCCAGGGCACTCTCGAATAGGCACTTGCCCACCATTTTGCCGGCGAACTCAAAGTGCTTCAGCTTGAGATGGGCGGGACGCGTGGGATTGGGATGCACGAGAGCCTGATGCTTGTCGTGGAAGGTGCAGAAGAGTCCGCCGCGAGCGTCGAAGAGGGAACTGCAGACCAGCTCGAACCACTCGCGGCGGAGGCCACCCCAATCGATGCCCTGTTCGCCCTGAAATGTGACCTCGAAGTTGCCGCACCAATCGGACACCGAGAAGCCCTTGGCCGCCTTCATGCTGCTCTCCAGGATCTTGTCCCGCTGCACCTTTAGAGCCATCTTCTCGTGGTAATAGCTGGCATGGAACTTACGCACCTCGTGGTAGAAAAAGTCCTGCTTATCCTTGAAGGTCTCCGAGCCGCCAATGTTCTTCAGCAGAAAGTGGGTGAAGGTGGCAGCTATGATATTGCGATCCTTGGAGGCCAACTCAATCTTGGGCTGCGCTCCGTCGTCGATGATGAAAACAGGGCCGTGCAGCTGGGAGACCAGCTGCGGCAGGAAATGGAATTTGGTCGAGGGACATAGCCTAAAGGTGGCTATCCTCTTGGGAATGAACTTGAGTATCATCTCCTTGATGGTCACCTGAAAGATCAGGGAGTTCTGAGCCCTCTCACATTTCCCTCGATCCCAATGGGTTTCTACGGCGCTGATTACTCACCTGCTTGGGTCCCACATAGCAGAGCACCTTCCTCGGCTTGTTCTTGGCCACACCGAAGATGCTCAGCAGCTTGGCCTCGTAGCAGATGTTGTGCTTCCGCGAGGCAATGTTCTTGTGCACCAAGGTTGTGTCGCTGCCTGAGACGGGAAATTATATGAGGTTGGAGTTTATGTTTCCTGAATAAAAACTCACTGCTCAGCACAATGATGTCAAAGTCTCCATTGGGCAGCTGCTGGTCCCGGTAACTGATCACGGCCCTCAGGCAGGTGGGCTCCGGAAAGAGAGCGGTCACCGAGACCCGTGAGTTGACCCTGTCGTAGGCGAAGGCAATCGCATGCTGCAGCTTCTCTACGGCAACGCCATGCAGGTCGTACACAGCCACTTGATAACCCTTAATAGGGATTAGGAAATACATTCACATTTAATCCTAGAGCTCCCCTCTTCTCACCTGCAGCGCCTCATCCGATTGGTTCTGGTCAAAGAGGCATGCATTCCCGAATTCATCCCGAGGCTCGATGTGCATCAGCGTTGGTGCTCCCGCACAGCAGATGACCGTGCTGGCCGGCCGAATGAACCGTGAACGCCGGGCGTCGATGGCTCCCGGTAGGAAGGATCGCAAGAAGGGCGATCCGGCGATGTGACTAGCACCAATCAGCACCGATATCTTGTACTGACCCGCCGTGCGCACCGTGAACTTCACCTTGGCGATATTGGCGTTATTGGGATCGGTGGAGGAGCCCAGCTCGCTGATGGTCACCACCTTGCGGGTGCCCTCGGTGACCTCGACAAAGAACTGGTCCGTATCACAGATGGGGTAGGGCTGGCCGTTGCGCTGAAAGAAGCGCACCACGAAGCACATGGTGCCGCCAACGCAGGCCGGATCCTTCCAGTCCCACTGCACCTTGCAGTTGGCGGGCAGCAGATATTTCCCAGTGACATACTGCAGCAGAGAGTGACGGGCCTGGAGTAGGAGTGGAAGCTAATCTTTAAAGAAAATGTAGGAAGCTTTATAAGAGCCGGCATACCTCTGGGGCCAGCGAGGGCTGTGTCATGGCAGCCAGTGTGACGAGGCCGGCTACAGAGACGGAGACGACTAGCATGCCGCCCCATGTCCACGCGTCCTGATGCTGGCTGCTCTTGACCACCGTCGACCAGAGCTGTGCCTTCAAAGCGTCCAGCTGTGCCTTCGACGTCGGCAGATTCTGTCGCGCCCCGGACCACAGTTGCCAGTCCTTGCCAAGAATCTTGCTCGCCCGCGAGTCCTCCAGCCAGTAGACGTCCTCCAGGGAGGCCACCTCCACGGCCAGCAAACGCTGGTAGTGATGCTGGAGCCGGTGCTCGCGAAGCCACTCGCGCAGGATCAGCTTCTGCTGCAGATGTAAGGCGGCTCGCTGCAGACGCTGCTCGTCCAGGGGCGGCAGCTCTGGCAGGCGTTCCGGATCGCCGCAGGATGAAAGGGATGAGATGCCTGAAAGGGTAATGGAAAGAATAGATTTTAATTATTTTAAGCTTAGCTGAAAATATAATCCTAGTTAAGGAAAGGCAAAAAGAAAGCAATGACCCCAATTACTTCTTATTTTATTTTTTCTATCAGCGGAGGCGTCTCTTAACTAGGAGCCAACTTTCCTGGTAATTGAGTTTAATGGCCAAAGTTTGAGGAAACTTTTCCTTCATGTCAACTGTTTGCCGTTGTCATCATCAAGCCGCCACGACAGCTTTTCATCCATCAGAAGGATGGAAGGCGACTTTCAATGGCGTTTAAAATTAGTAATTTGGCCAGGCGACTACGTCAATGCCGAATAATCCTCCTTCCGCTATCCTTGTCATGAACAACAAGCTACCACCAATCAATTACATTTCAATTTTTGATGACTTAACCAATGCCAAGACGAAAATATCCAGGGAAAAACGACATTTAATACGTTGTTTGTCGCTTATCGCTGGCTGGAAATCGACAGCAAACGCCCCTATTTTCACTCCCCCTTATTTTCCTGGTTCCCTTGAAAGCTTAACCCTGTAGTAACACCCTTCCTTCGCCATCTGAATAAGTGAAAAACTTTCATTTGCTATTATTGTATTTCAGTTGGTGTCCCAACTTTGACTTTTCGCCGCATGAAAAGTTAAGCGGAAAAAAGGAAAGACAAAGAGGATAACTCCATGGCCCATAAATAAGAAACACTTGAATTTTGTATGCTAAGCTGCTTGTTTCAAGAGTAGATTTGAGTGGAAACTGCTCAAGGAGTCATAAGAAATTATAGTTAAAATATTCATGGAAAAATATAAGCTGTGAGCAATTTGTAGAGTCTGGAAAACTAAAGTAAGTTATTTCTAGGCCATCTTTTCAAATTAAGAACCTGAAAGATATTTGAGATATTTAAATCTAAAAACTTGTAATTTTTTGTAGGAGGCATTATAATATTTTAACTTCAATTTATAAAAAATACTCCCATTTTTTATGGCAAACACCCAACGAAAAGCTTAATGAATTTATGTAAAAATCAGCAACAAAAGCCACCAGCAAAGCCAGTACTAATGAAATATAAGAGACACTGCCAGCCAGAAACCACTCCGGAAACTAAACCAAAATTAACCCCATGGAAAAGTCAGATAAACCTGGCTAGTTAACCCCGGTGAAATGCAATGCCAGATCACTTAAACCCTGGCTCTCCTACTACGCACCGCAAAATCCAGCTAAGTCAGGAGCAAAAAACTCAACTTGGTTTCGACCAGGAGGGACCGCAGAACTAAAAAAAAAAAAAACCAACGAGCCAAGTTGAGCCGCAAAACGAGTAACGTGCAAACGAACCCCAGACCAATTGTGGTTTTTTGTTAGGGTAGAAAAGTGGGTCCCAGGGGGGGAGGTTACCAGGGAAAAAAATATAAATAAAATGTAGAAAAAAAAGGGAAAAAATAATAGAATTTCGCGTGGAGGAGGGCGGTGTGGTTAGTGGCCAAATATCGTAGGCAAAGTTTGCGTGCCTGACATTCGAAAACGAATTCATTTCGTTACCAATTTCTTTCGTATTTCCACGGGTCCCCCCCAATGCCGCATTTCCCCTCTGTCCACTTCATTCCTAACTTGTTCATATTTCGCGCGAAACGAACGACTTCCGTTTGATTTGGACGAGGCGATATAAATACGTGTATTCTTGGGCGCAGAAAAATGCCTGAAAAGTCCAAAGTGCCAACAATGAAAAGTTACATTTTCCTAGGACTTCTATATTTTGCCATGCTTTTCAGCTTTCCAACTTTCTACTTTCCTCTTCCACGCTTTAGGCCTGGTTATTTGTATAATTAAAGTATTTCCATTGCATACTTAATGGCGCTGCACCAAACGACCTTTGGCTGGACAGGAATTACTAATCGGTTTTAATTAAGCACCACCAAAGAGAGGGTGCAAAAAATATCGCTGGAAAAGTCACAAAAAAAAAAAAGAGAGAAGCGTGGCAAGCTGACAAACAAAGCGAAAGGCAAAGGCCGCTAAATGAAAATGCCTTCTGAAGGTTAAAACGCGACGTGCAAGGATAATCATGATGATGACGATGGTATAGATGACGGGCATCCTGGGCAACAGGGATGATGGGTGATGATAAATGTCAAGTGAAAGCTTCCAGGGAGAGAAAGCAGCAATGACTGATGAGGCTGACTTTTGACAGTTGAAGCAGAAAATATGAGGGAAGGAGATCAGGTAGGCGGCACTTGTACAGAAATGCCCTAAGTGTCTGAGACCCAAAGCACTCAAAGGACAAAAAGGCACACCAGGATAATTCCTTTATCAAAAGTTACTTAATGACTTTGAAATAAAAGTAATTAAAAGAGCTTAGCTTTGGATTAAGATCTATCAAAGCTGGAAATTCAATTTAGTGAGGATCTTAGCATCAAGCTAGTTTCTAGTTTATGATTAATATTATTATTATTTACATAGAAATATATTAAGAAATACATATTATATATGTTTTAGAAAGAAATTAAGAGCCCTATTACCTAATAAAATAAGTAATATTTGTACAATTACCAATTTAATTCTCTAAATGAAAAATATTTAATTTGCTTGGAATATAAGCTTGAAATAAATTATTCACATATTTTGTATACAATATAATTGCTTCGTTTACATTCTAAGTTCAGACAACCTAAGTAAATGCAATTAAATAATAAATGAGTTCGATTTTTTCCTTTACGAAATCAATTACTTTCGACACAGGGACAAGTAGGCGTATACTTGATATTTTCATGCCGACTTGTCTGTTGATAGATATCTATATTTGATGAGCTTTGTGAGGTGGAATAAATTGATTTTAAGCATGCAGACAAAATGCCAGAAAATAGATTGACAAAATCATATTGCCTGAATCATTTATAAACCATAAATTTAATCAGAAAAATATCGGAAGCATACAAATTCAACCTGTATATAAATTATTAATAGTAAAACATCAAAATTTGTATTTTTACCCTAAACCTTACCCATCTTTTCGCTAAAACACAACTTCATTTCGCTGGCAGGAATACTTTTTCCTGTTCTTGTCTTCAGCACACCTCCAACCCTGAAGCTACTCAGAACCAAGGCTATATCATAGTTGTTCAGATAGGCTGCCGGAAAACCCTTATAGGTGACATAACTACGGATCATGATTAAATCTGGCCTGAGCGCCATATCCTCGGGCTTGCACTGCATCTGACCCATGTGGGGAACGAGTGAGGGGTCCTATTGGGGTCCCAAATTCCGTCTACGTTAATTTTGACAAACAACTCAAAAGAGACCTGCTGAGTTTCGAAATTCAGCCTCGTAATAAAGGAGATTTGCCCCTCTTGAGTCCTTTGTTCGCTCATTAGCACAAGGCTGGCAGGATGGCAGAGCAGAGCAGAGCAGAGCAGAGTGGAGCAAAGCCTCGCCAAAGTGCTGGGCAAATGTTTGCAGAGCGAGCAAACTTGGCCTATTAGCCGAGGGCTACTTAAAGCCAAATGAAAATTTCATGTCCCCAGCCTGGGGTACAGTGCACAATGGCTATAAGCAGGTCTGAATTGATTTTTCGAAGTGAAATAAGTACTTTCGATAATTATAATTATACAGAAGGAATATGCTATTAAAACTGATCTCAATATTACCTTCTATAGCCTTTTTCTTCTTTAAGATCAAGTTTTTTTAAACTTAAAACCCAAGCTTTTCTTGCTTTTTTTTTGGATTGGATTTTACAATTTGGAAACGTGCTGTTATTGCACAATGGCTGATTTTTTTTTTGCCAAGGGGAATGCAGGGAATGATTTTGATGTTTATTGTTTTCTTTTGACTGTCTGCCCTCGCTTTTCTCCTGAATTTTCCTGCTCTACCACCTCCCCGCTCTTTTTACCTCTGTCTGTGCTATCCTTTTTGTGCCTTTGCTCCATTGTTATCCCTGCATTGTTGTTCTTTGCTTTATCCTTTTTTATCGATTGTTCTCCGACGATGGAAGCTGCAGAAATTACAATTTGAATGACATTCGATCGCAGAGGAGAGCGGGTGGGATATAGCAGCAGCAAAAAAGCGGGGGCCTGGGCGATTAAGGTTGCCACAACAAAAGCCACAATATTTTCCTTAAGCTCCTCAACCGCACCCCCCGCACATTTCACCCTTTGTGTTTGTTTACCAAAGTGAAAAATGATAAAATTGCCAGCTTCATTTTCCACCGAGGACATCCTGGGTGTGTATGGGTATGTGTGTGCTCCCCTTGCCTTCCTATTCCAGCCTTTTTTATACACCTCCTCTTGTGTTATGCACTTGGAAAAATGATATATAAATATAACATTTTAAATATGCCTAAACTATTTAATAAATATTTTAAAAATAAACGTTGAATGTAGTTCAGTTGGTCAAAATTTTAAATGGTATTTATTCATGAATCCAAAAATATCCAATGAATCCATTTTTTCCCGAAAAATTCAAAATAAATTCCATGACTGACAATATTTTTCGTGTGCAGCTTAAAGCTTCTCGCTTGAATATAATAAATCAGCAGAAAAATCGAAAACAGGGCCAGATAGAGAGAGAGACAGAGAGTGAACAATGTCCGATGACTGCACTCGGCAGCTGCAACAAATTCATCCACAAATATTTCATCTGCTTACAATAATTTATGTTTGCCTGTCTGCAGGAGACAGGCTCCAGCAGAAGCACAGCAGAAGCAAAAGCAGAATCCGCAGCACTAGCAAGAAAGCATGAAGCGGCAAAAGTGGCATAAGCAAGGGATGTGGGTGCCAGAAGTAAGTATTTGCATATTTAATTTAAAATAAAGCGCACTCTTTGCAGCAGAAACATACACACACACACTCGGATATGTATATATATAACTCATATAAGAACAGAAACACTCACCCTGGGCTTGCCACACTCGCCTCAAGTGGCGGCATAAATTCAAAATGCCACTTTGGCAACAGTCTCGGCAAATTACGTATACGCAATGTTGGCGCACACAAACGACACAAACAGCC